GTTTTTTTAGGGCGCCGGTGCACCGCCAGGAAGGCTTTTGGGATCGTCCTGCCGGTCGATGTTGAAGGGGGGGAGGAGTGTAGCGGTGGCACCGATCTCTCGCAGAAATTGTCCGGGCAAAGGCGAACTCTGGGGCGGAACTGGCGTCGGCAATGGCGGGCGATTGCTATGACGTCAACGACGACGCGGCGGTTGCCGGCGGCTGTATCATCATGTATCGTCAAAATTCACGTATCGTCAGCATATTGGTTCACATTTTTCAAGTACGTTTGGTATATTGTTGATGTATATGAATAATAGTAATGGACCCTGTACGTAACGTATTAAGTCACTGTTGACAGTGTTGTCTCATGTTAAATGGTAACTACACATCTGCCTTGTAATAAAAAACTCTATATGACACCAGTTTTACTCAACTTTATACTATTTCTATAACTGTATCTCATAGCATTGAAAAAATGACAAGTGTATACCATAAGTGGTAGAAATATTAATAGTAAGTCCCTCCAAATATACGAATATACATTCAAATAAAGTTCCGAAAAATATATTAGACATTTTATTAATATTTAATTATTTTCACACACAATGTACATTAGTGATTGCTATACAGTGAAACAATACACAAATAACAAATAACCACATGGAATTATAAAATTGGTCGATTCCACTTTTCCTTTCACATCAAATAATGGAAACAACCTTTAAAGATGCTTTCATTTTACACTAAGCTGATTGTCCTTACGAAAGAGTTAAGGTGCATGGGGGAGGGGTTCTTCAAAAGGAAAGGAAGCATGGCAACTAAATGCAGCCTGAAACTGGAAGGGAGGTGTTGACAAGCGATGGGCAGCAGCTCACATTTTCATCAGTGCTCCAGCTTCGCGAAGTCATGAACATACCTATACCAGATATACAATCGTACTGTTCACGGTGGAGCTAATGTAAAGTATGGGTTGCAGATGTCACAAATAGTAGTTGAGTGATTGAAAATGTAGCGACTGCGGTTGCATAATATGTTGGTCGGCGGTAGCGTGTTTGTTGTAGTATGGATGATGGAGATGCGAAACGGTTGAGAGGGGGTTGTTGTACATGTGGGCAGCAGGTGGTTGTCCGGGCGCGTGCGACGTCCTCTGTTATCTAGAAATGTATAAAGGAGAAGGTTCTTGGTGGTGAGAGAGGTCGGACGTGAGTGCGCGAGGCACGCGTCTGCGTGCCTCTGTGCGAGCGTATGTGGTTTGAGAAACAATATACTATTTGCTGAACACTACTGCTTGGAGTTTGGAGTTTCATTATCCATCGCTACAACAGATCTACACTTCAACGGGTAACGTCATCATCGTCGTTACACTAACACTGCTAATAGAGCACACGATTGACTAGGCACACAGGGAGAAAGACCATCATATATAATATTGACTCGGCAGCTGATTGAGAATAGCAAGGCAGGAGGACAAAGGTCTACTCGGTGATGGAAGAGGGAAACAGTGGATTCGAGGCAACATCCACGGCTAGGTCTCATGACAACCCAGCCAGGCTCCAACAGCACTAGCTATAGCTGTAGTGTTTCTAGCTAGAGGAAGGACCCTTCAGCGCTGGTATGGAATGCTTCAAAATGATCACAGAAAAAATGGGACTGGTACAAAGGCATGGTTTAAAAAAACTGGGGATGTCATGGGCTTTTAACCTACCTATCAACGAAACAGCGATGAATTATGCGATGCGCTTAATAGGTTCGTGCTATGATGTCTACAGACAGAAAAACACAATGGCAATTCACATTCACAATATGGTTTAAATCACCATGAAATCATTAATTATTAGCCAGACATGTTAATAAAATCACAGAGCGAGTCCCACTGCAATGCCACACACAAACATAAGGCACGTTTCACAAATAACACACCTGTTTTTCACATGTATGACCACCCTACCCCCATTTTTCCCCCAATAAGCCCCATTTCACAGACAAGTAGCCGTTTTTATAATAAGGCCCGTCTCGCACGGGATAACGCCACGTTTTTTCTCGCTTCCGCCACGTCTAGTGTATCTTGCATTCCCCCTTCAGCTGCACGGATAGGCTGTCCTGGTCTTGCACGTCAATGGTCAGTGTGTGACAGTAAACGCCCGTCCGGTTTGGCCGGAAGTAGATCGGTAGCGAAACGAAGTGATGTGACTTCAGCGACACGTGCTTGTTCTTGTCGGACACGTTGAACGGCGAAATGCAGATATTCTATAACAACTATTTCATTAGGTGCAATATTGACTGTTCATTTGTTGATTAAACCTCGTTCCTAACAATCAATGTTTTTAACCTCGTTCCTGACAAAGTTTATGGAATTCCTGGAACGAGGTTGGGAGGAATGTCTCCCCGACGACCAAGCTTCAACAAAGAGGGTCGCCATGTTGGGTGCAGTAGTTCCCCCCTCTAGCGGCAGAAAACGGCGAAACAGTTGGCCCGCAGGTTATAGGAGAACAGACCACTTGGAACTTCTCAATCTCAGCTTGGAACGTCTAAATACAAAAAAATAATGGTAAATAAACACGAAATCAAATGTACCAAAGTCTTAATGTTTCTCTACTCTATTTCGCCTATAATCACCGACACCTGTAAATGGCGGTCAAATGCTCATCTGCAACACACAAGTACACCGAACGCCCGCCCGCGCTGTGCTGCATGCAGAAAACATGATAAACAGAGAGATGATAAGAACTCTCTTATTGCATGTTGTTTGTGCACGCAGCACAGCGCGGCCGGGCGTTCGGTGTACTTGTGTGTTGCAGATGAGCATTTGACCGGCATTTACAGGTGATTATAGGCGAAATAGAGTAGAGAAACATTAAGACTTTGGTACATTTCGTGTTTATTTACCTTTTTTTTATTGAGACGTTCCAAGTGCCTGTGTCAGAGTGAGACCACTATTAAATCCTCTACTTAAGAATTGAATTTCAGGAGCTGAAAAATAGTATTTCGACCACTTTTGGCCGAGTGGCAATATTAAAGCTAGGTAGCCATTTACTTCAGCTGTGCACCATTAGAGTTATGACATATATGTTGTCTGGCGTTTTAAAAAAAATATCGCGAATTTACTAACCGACACCACATTTGTGCCTGAAAAACAGTCACGCAGTCGAATGGGGGCCATACATTGAAAGAATTCGTTTTAAATTACCAGTAACCATCCACCCATCTCCATCTGCATGTCATTGACACGATATCCAGCCTAAATAATGGCAACCACAAAACATCGCGTCAGCTTTAGTGCACGAGCTGCAGGCACTCCGATTGGTCGGCCGATGACGCGTCACATCCTCTAACCTAACAGGGTAATGAACCGGAAGTGATTTAATAGTAGTCATGTGTCATGACCATCGCCTTGTGCCCTCGGACGTGTGTTCCAGATGGGAAAGGATGGGAGATGGCCGGAGCGGCATGCCGCTACCCCCTTGAACCGGTTGTGTAGTGAGGGCTATCTCCGGTGGAAGACGGCGCCGGGACCGAGCGCCCAGGAGGCGGCGGCGACAGCGAGCGGCCGAATCATTCTGCGCCCGGCGCGTAGGGGTAGACGGCCGTATGCTCGGGTGGTGGCAGGCGCCCCGCCCACACCGGTTCCCGCACCGCAGGCTTCGAAGCGGGCGTGCCCCATACCTGTGCCCCGGAAGGCAAAGGTGCACGCTGCCGGGGTAGCGCTGCCTGCAGCAGTGGCAACCACCGAGCGCACGACGTCGGCTCCAACGACGGAGCGTGTGGCATCGAAGGGAGCGAAACGTGCGGCGAGACGGACCGCAGCGGCGGCGAGACGAGCGTCGGCTGCGACGAGACCAGCCCCATCAGCTGCGTGGGGTCGAGCGCCAGCGGAGTCGTCCGCGTCCGCGGCCGAATCAATGATGTCAGCTGAATCGCGGGCGGCCTCCATGGCTGTAGAGCCAGCGGTTGCGGTCGGCTTGCCGCGTAGTGATCGGGCCGCGTTCAGGGAGTTCTGTACCTTGTGGGGAAACCTGCCGGATAGGGCTCTTGGGGTCTGGGACAGTCCGGAGTTCAGCAGTGCGAGTGGCGCACCGGCACCGGAGCTCGTGCACCAGATGGGGATAGTGCAGTTGCACCAGGCCGTTGCCTGGGCCCAGGCCCAACAACGCATCGCGCATCAGGTCGAGAACGCAGTCCTGGCGGAGCTCAAGCGGAGGATGGAGACCACCCTGAGCTTGTGGCACCCCGGGGACGAGACGTCACAGCAGTAGGGCAGCTGCGTTTTTTTAGGGCGCCGGTGCACCGCCAGGAAGGCTTTTGGGATCGTCCTGCCGGTCGATGTTGAAGGGGGGGAGGAGTGTAGCGGTGGCACCGATCTCTCGCAGAAATTGTCCGGGCAAAGGCGAACTCTGGGGCGGAACTGGCGTCGGCAATGGCGGGCGATTGCTATGACGTCAACGACGACGCGGCGGTTGCCGGCGGCTGTATCATCATGTATCGTCAAAATTCACGTATCGTCAGCATATTGGTTCACATTTTTCAAGTACGTTTGGTATATTGTTGATGTATATGAATAATAGTAATGGACCCTGTACGTAACGTATTAAGTCACTGTTGACAGTGTTGTCTCATGTTAAATGGTAACTACACATCTGCCTTGTAATAAAAAACTCTATATGACACCAGTTTTACTCAACTTTATACTATTTCTATAACTGTATCTCATAGCATTGAAAAAATGACAAGTGTATACCATAAGTGGTAGAAATATTAATAGTAAGTCCCTCCAAATATACGAATATACATTCAAATAAAGTTCCGAAAAATATATTAGACATTTTATTAATATTTAATTATTTTCACACACAATGTACATTAGTGATTGCTATACAGTGAAACAATACACAAATAACAAATAACCACATGGAATTATAAAATTGGTCGATTCCACTTTTCCTTTCACATCAAATAATGGAAACAACCTTTAAAGATGCTTTCATTTTACACTAAGCTGATTGTCCTTACGAAAGAGTTAAGGTGCATGGGGGAGGGGTTCTTCAAAAGGAAAGGAAGCATGGCAACTAAATGCAGCCTGAAACTGGAAGGGAGGTGTTGACAAGCGATGGGCAGCAGCTCACATTTTCATCAGTGCTCCAGCTTCGCGAAGTCATGAACATACCTATACCAGATATACAATCGTACTGTTCACGGTGGAGCTAATGTAAAGTATGGGTTGCAGATGTCACAAATAGTAGTTGAGTGATTGAAAATGTAGCGACTGCGGTTGCATAATATGTTGGTCGGCGGTAGCGTGTTTGTTGTAGTATGGATGATGGAGATGCGAAACGGTTGAGAGGGGCAGGAGTAAGAAATAATAGGACTATATGTATCTTACTGCTGATAAATGTTGCGTCGGGGGTAGCGTTTTGTTTGTACGTATGGAGATTGGAGATGCCGAAACGTTGAAGGGGTTTGTTTGTACATGTGGGCAGCAGGTCTTGTGTTTGTCCCGGTGTGCTCGTGCGACGTCCTCATGTTTATCTAGAAATGTATAAAGCGAAGGTTCTTGTGGTGATAAGAGTCGGCGACGGAGTGCGCGCGGCATCGCTTCTGCGTGCCCTCTGTCGAGCGTGATGTGGTTTGAGAACCATACTACTACTGTGCTGAACCTACTGCTTGAGTTATTTTCATTAATTTATCCATCGCTACAACCGATCTACACTTCAACGTAACGTCATCATCGCTCGTTACAGTAACACGGCTAATATAGCATCACATTGACTAGGCACACAGGAAGAAAGACATCATATATAATATTACTTCGGCAGCTGAATTGAGAAAATAGCAACGCAGGACGAGCAAAGGTTACGTCGGATGCATGAAGAGGAAACAGGTGAGTTCGAGGCACACATCCACGCTAGTTGTCCATGACATACCCAGCCAGGCTCCAACAGCACTTATATAAGCTGTAGTGTTTCTAGCTAGAGAAGACCGCTTCAGCGCTGGTAATGGAATGCTTCAAAATGATTCATCAGAAAACAATGGACATAGGTACTAAAGGCATGGTTTAAAAAACTGGGGATCAGGGCTTTAACGCTACCTACACTCCGAAACCAGCGCTTGAATTATGTCGATGCGGCGTAATAGGTTCGTGCTATGAATGTCACAACAGAAAACACAATGGCAATTCACATTCACAAATAATGGTTTTAAATCACCATGAGATATCATTAATTAATTAGCCAACATGTTAATAAAATCACATGAGCGAGTCGCATCTTGCAATGCCAACACACAAACATAAGGCACGTTCACAATAACACACCTGTTTTTTCACATGCTATTGACCCCCTAGAACGCCCCATTTTTCCCGGCAATAAGCCCCATTTCACAGACAAGTAGCCGTTTTAAGTAATAAGGCCGTCTCGCACGGGGATAACGCCACGTTTTTTTCGCTCTCCGCACGTCTAGTGTATCTTGCATCCCCCTTCAGCGCACGATAGCTGTCTGGCCTGTCACGGTCAAATGTCAGGTTGTGTGACAGTAAAACCCGTCCGGTTTGGCCGAAGTAGATCGTAGACGAAACGAAGTGATGTGACTTCAGCGACACGTGCTTGTTCTTGTCGGACACGTTGAACGGCGGGCTGGGCAACGCTACGTTCAGCTGCAGTTAACACACGAATAGTCGTTAATACACAACGCCTCGGTCAGCTGCAGTTAACACACGAATAGTCGTTAATACACAACCGCCTCGGTCAGCTGCAGTTAACACACGAATAGTCGTTAATACATTCAATCCTTCGTCAGCTGCAGTAACATCACGTAGTAGTCTTAATACACACCACTTTTTTTCGGTCAGCTGCCAGTTAAACACAGCGAATAGTCTTAAACCACTGCCTGTCGGTCAGCTGCAGTAACACACCGACTAGTACGTTATACAAGCAATGCCTTCGTCAGGTTCTGCAGTTAACACAGCCGAGAGTAGTCGATTAAATTCCAACAGCCATTGGTCAGCTGTGGCAGTTAATCACACCATAGTCCCCGTTATATGACACACTGGCTCGGTCCAGCTGCAGTTACAACACAATAGTCGTTAAATACACAATGCCTCGATCAGCTGGCATGTTTAACACACGAATAGTCGTTAATACACAACGCCTCGGTCAGCTGCAGTTAACACACGAATAGTCGTTAATACACAGACCGCTCAAAATGTACAAAGCTTTCTTTTCTTACAGCCACTACTGTTCTAGGTCTGTGTAGATACACACAGCTACACACACACACTCAACTCTGTCTAGCTACATATACGCACATGTAAAATAGTATATTGCGTCTATCAGGTCTGGGATGATTTGACATACAGTAAAAACCCGCGTATAAGAATATAGATTTTAAGAACCTGTTAGGCTAAAATTTCCCATTTAGACCCCTTTACATAAGAACCTGTTTTAGGCTAAGATTTTAAAGTAGGTTCTTAATTCAATGCAGATGAAGACTTAAAAAGACGAGCTCAACAATACCGATGAATGTGCCAGCACCTTTTTTTGGCACGCATCTTTTTGCATATTGTTTTGTTTCCTTGGATACATACTGTATCATACAGTATGGTAAGCACTGAAAAACTTACACTGTAGCCCATCATGGGTATTATAATTAGCAAAAATTGCAGTCCTTGTAAGAAAATTTTAACACAATTTGAATCAAGTATAAGCTTATACATATTAAAAGTAGAAACAATTAAGAACCTATTTAAGAACCTTTTGAGCCTCATTTTTCAGTAAGCACCATTTATATAAGAACATATTGAGGCTAACTTGGAAAAATCTATGTTCTTATATGCGGGTTTTTACTGTAGTTATACTCACAGCGTAATTACAATCTGTCTTGTTACAAATCTGTAGTTTTAACTTGGATGTGGACCCAAGGTCTACACTGCCAAAGTCAAGCTCTTGCTGTCTAGCAGTGACAGGTTTGTATCTGAAATATGCATAGTAAAGCATTTAACTTCATTGCATCAATATATGGTGCATACAACAACCATGCATAGTTTACGTTTAGTTGAAATGTCATATGCTCCTTTTCTGAAATTTCATCTGATTCTCAATATTACATATATGACATAAAATTTAATCGCCATTGAAAACCAGTCATCAATGCCACACGTTTAATTGAAGATAAATTTAATAAGGATTTATGATTATTAAAAAGTCGCCATGCATGTAATAATTAAAATTTCAGAAGGCATGTAAAGCAATAAGACAATTCATCTCCACATGCAAATTAGAGTCAATTATGTGCATTGTAGGCAGCCTGCATACATAGATAAACTTCGTTAGATAAAATCAGTTTGGAGACGTATGCTGAGAAAGGACAGCATGACTAGTGTTGGGACTGTCGAAAGTAAAACACAGCTGGAAATTAACAGATGCGATTAAAAGCAATTAAAGCATGTCAGAGGATTAGTGGGGTGTCGTAAATTAGCTTGAGCTCTTACAGCACGCCGGATCCAACATGCGTTCCAAGCCTGGGGAGAAACCTGGTATATATAACATATAAAGTTAAATAAAGTTAAATCCCTTCCCGTGCCTATGTGGCGCATAGGGCGGTGCTTATCTCCGTTTCCTTAACCCGTCCACTGGTAGCACTGTAGTTCAATATATTATATAATAATATTATGATTATAAAAATTAACACAGTTCTATACTATATATTGTATAGTATTGTTACATATTGCTACACATCGGTTGTCTAATTTGTTTGTGTAAATCATCGCATTCCCTCGTGAAGGGTACAGCCGTACTATAAGCCATATCGGAAAGTTCCCACCGCCATATTGAGATCAGGTAGGGGGGGGGGGTGATAAGTTGCCTATATATAACATAGTTCGATAGTACTAGTCTAGGTTTTTTTATTTATAATTCTCTTCAATTCACAGGTGCGTTTCTGTTTACAGAAACGTTTACAAATATGATTGTGGTCATTTGGGATATTTTGAAATGTTTGTGTTAATGCAAAAATCACACGAGTGTTTACATTAATCATGTACTTTCCTAAACGTGCCTCGGCCATTTTATCCCCCTTTTTCTAAGACCTAAATGTCCACAGATGCACTTTCCGATATCACTTATTGACAAAAAAAATGACTACATCCGTCTCCTGCTCACCCTGATGAAGCTGTTGTTGGAATCGCCCTCTTTGTCCCATCGCCGTAAATTCGCAGCGTTCGAACCTCAGTCCGTGTTCCCAGAGACAACTCCACTTTCCATATCTGATGATAGCTGTAAAAAGGATTTTTATAGTCAACATGCTTCTTAATAATCTGCAATCAAATTTTCATTGTGCATTAGTTTTATGGCGCTGACCTAACATCTGTCCTCTCACGTGTGGCCTCCTCTAAAGCATCTACAGGATCTGCTTGTAGAAATTAGACTGCTAACGACGAACGAGGTTTGACCAGGCGCGGATTTAGGCCGGTTTGCACCGGTTTCCAGAAACCGGTCACAGGTCTCAAAATTCACCAGAATGCACCAAATATAGCCTAATTAAAAAATTCCTGGGGGGGGAGGCATGTCCCCGGACCCCCTAGCTGCAGAAGAACATATGGAAACTGGTCACCCAAACCCTCTGGATCCGCCCCTGGTTTGACTGTAGTGTAATTGAGTAGCAGTTCATAAATAAGATTACGGTGACTTCAGTCTGGGCACGTTTCGGATTTACTTATGGTTAATGATGCAAATAATACAGTGTATTATGTTGTAATTTATATTTACATGGTTACGCATGATCAGAATTTTATATTACTAGCCTATGTTGCAATTTTATTTTTGTGATTATGTTTTTAATTGCCAGATTAATTGTTGATTGTGATAGGTGTGTGTGTGTGCATGCACGAATAGGAGCGAGTGTGCACATGCATGCATGCATGCATGTATATAATACTAATACAGTAATTTGGTCAGAGTGACTTCTGCTCAGAAAAGTTGAATGAAATTTAATGAATATATTTATGAAGTACACACACTATTACATATTACCATAGCTATATACCAACTGTTGTGTTGTAATAAAATGTGTTGTAGTGATATCTAATGATATTACGTACATAAAACTACACGTTTATACATAGAATATTGTTATAAACAACTGCCCTACCAGAATTTTGAAAAGGTCCATTTTCAATTTTTTTTACGGCATACTCAAATGCCACACACGCATACTCAACTAGAAAGGGCAGTTAATTGTCGCCAACTACATGTATCCCCGCGTGTTCTCGTCCCAAGATGTGTAAGTATACAAAGTTTGGTCGCGCTAGTCAATTAGGGGGCGGAGTTATAGGAGTGGAAGAGAGTATGATGAAGGTCAAGGTCAAAGGTCAAGGTCAAATAAAGCCACAGTGACCTGGTTTTGGTACGCCAACACACATTCTCCCCAAGAGATGTGTAAGTATACCAAGTTTGGTAGCACTAGGGTCAATTAGGGGCACCCGAGTTTATAGAGCGGAAGGGAAATATGATCAAGGTCAAATAAAGGTCGTAGTGACCTGGTTTTGGTACGCAACACACCCTTCTCCCGCAAGATGTGTAAGTACCAAGTTGGTAGCACTAGTCAATTAGGGGCCCGAGTTAAGAGGCGGAAGGGAAATATGATCAAGGTCAAGGTAAAGGTCAAATAAAGGTCACAGTGACCATGGTTTGGTACGCCTGCGCACTTTCTCCCCAAGATGTGTAAGTATACCCAAGTTTGGTAGCGCTAGGTCAATTAGGGGCCGAGTTAGAGAGCGGCGAAGAAAATATGATCAAGGTCAAGGTAAAGGTCAAAATAAAGGTCGCAGTGACCTGGTTTTGGTGGCGCTGCTGCACCTTCTCGCCCAAAGATGTGTAAGTATACCAAGTTTGGTAGACGGCTAGGCAATTAGGGGCCGAGTTAGAGAGCGGAGGAAAAAATATATGATCAAGGTCAAGGTAAAGGTCAAATAAAGGTCGCAGTGACCTGGTTTTGTACGGCTGCTGCTCACCTTCTCCCCAAGATGTGTAAGTATACAGCAAGTTTGGTAGCGCTAGGTCAATTAAGGGGCCGAGTTAGCAGAGCGGAAGGGAAAATATGATCAAGGTCAAGGTAAAGGTCAAATAAAGGTCGCATTGATCTGGTTTTTGGTACGCTGCTCACCTTCTCCCCAGTGTGTAAGTATACCAAGTTTGGTAGCGCTAGGTCAATTAGGGGTCGAGTTATAGAGCGGAAGAGAAATTGTCTGCGGCGCGCGGCTGGGGAGACATGAAACCATATTATCCCCGCCGACTTCGTCGCGGGGATACAATTATATCTCAAGGCCACAGCAGCAATAACTCCATGATATAGTCAAATGGCCACACACCATACTGCCATACTCATTATATACTCAAATGCCACACCACAATACTCAATTATATACTCAAATGCCACACACCATAGTACATAACTCAATCTTATATAATCAATGCCACACACCATACTCAAAGTTATATACTCCAAATGCCATACGCGGTAGATCAAGGACAGACAAGCATACAGCACATACCGGCCAGCGTTCATCGGTGTAAACCTGACTGGTACTGTCGTCGTTCCGCCATACTGCACAGTCCACGCAGATTTCGCAACGTGGAACACCATTGAGCTGGATGGCTGCATGGGACCAGCTCCAACCTACAATTATACTATATTATATACTATATATTATTATTATTATATATTATAATAGACAAGACATGCAGAACTCATCACCGTTTCTGTATTCTGTTCTCTCCGTCCTGCATTCTGTTCTCTCCATCCTGTATTCTGCTACATGTAGTTGAATCGCGTTGAATTCCACTTAGATTTATACATCCAGACGAGGCACCATCCACTGTACTATTAAGCATACTACAGTAGGTTTGGAACTAGAAGTTATGCGTCCTTGCAAATGATCTCAACCATCAACAGCTAACTAATTTGTGTAATTGTTATATTACACACACGTTCTCACATTATGTGTACATGAAACAAATACATGTACAGAGAAAAACCTTATTGAAGGGGTTACAGCCCTATAGACCGAAGGCCCGATAGACCGAAGGTCCGCGAATACGCCGCGAAGGTATTATTCAAATACGCTAGTGGCTACAACGTCGCGGCAATCAGGTCGCGCTATGCCTCCAGAGCTAACGCACATCCGGACATCCCACTGATGCCGTATCGAACGTGAAATATGCCTGCGCACAATCCGTCACCGATGTCCACTATAAATCATATGATGCCACTATAAACCATATATATGCCCTAACCCTAACTCTAACCCTTTGCAACATTCAGTCTATCGGACCTTCGGTCTATCGGACCTTCGGTCTATCGGACCTTCGGTCTATCGGGCCTTCGGTCTATCGGGCCTTCAGTCTATCGGACCTTCGGTCTATCGGACCTTCGGTCTATCGGACCTTCGGTCTATAGGTCTGCCCCCGTTACCCGAATAAAGGTACTGTTGAGAGTTGAAATACAGATTCTATATTCTTAACCCCATCCACCCAACCCCTAAACCGTTCTCATCGAATTTAGACGTCTCACAAATTCGACCCCCAGGAACTGTGAAATCCGGAATCCGGATCCGAAGAAAATTCTCCCAAGAAAATTGTCCGACGAAAAATCGACGCCAGGGACCGTGAATTCCGAGAAATTTCTCGGATCCAAAGAAAATTCTTGTCCATGCCAGGGACTAATCTAGCTGCTTATTATGGGCGCCCATGGCGAGCGTAGCAAGCGTAACAAAAATTGTGGAACCGTTGGCAAGCGCAGCGAATCAAAAACATTTTTTAGGTATAGGGCCCATAGATCATATATGTATATAATAACATGAAAATTAATATCATCTTGAGATATAACACAATTGTTTCAATATATCCATGGATATGTTTTCTTTTTACCTCATATAAGTAACAGAATGAACCACTATAACGACGAACGATAGAAACATGGAAATTTAATTTTCACAATTTTCAGAGCTCTGCTAATTTGGGCGTCTTATGAATTTTGTAATTTGGGCGTTATGCTAGGGCCATAATAAAAATATTGTTTGTTTGCCCTCACCCGACCGACCCGCCAAAAAGGAGCCGACAAATTTTTTTAAACAAATTGTATCACTGTACATTATACGTTATATAAATCTGTAGGCAATACATTATATGTACCAAGCAAAACAAACATTCAGCATAAAAGGTATCTTCACACAAGCATACCCGAGCATGTAAACACACACCATGCTGAATTTGTAAAAAGACCCCCCTCAAAAAAAGCCGACCTATCTACCCAAACTTTTCAGCCTGGGTCGGGTGAAGGCAAACAAAGATTTTTTTAATTGTGGCCTAGGGGCCGTAATTTGGGCGCCTGTATTCGGTATGAAAAATGGCTTGGATTAAGCCCTGCCTGCAATATCTCACCATCATATATGTCGGCTCGAGCGGGAACAGCTGCACAGCGACGTTCGCCTCGGCCGCCACCGCCGCCGCCGCGCGCATGTCGACGATGGACCACGACAGCTCGCCGACGCCACCTATGAACGTGTTCGGGAACATGATCTCCTGCGGAGCGATGACGTCGTGCAGGATCGCCGCGCGCGTCTCGGGTCCGGACGCGTCGACTCGGGACTTCGTCGGCGTGGCGACCAGGCTGCTGTGCTCCTGCATGTGTTTCTGCACCGCCGGTGTTTCCGCCTGAAACGTCTACGCGGCAAACGATAGTTGAATGCTCGATAAATAGTTATAGTTAATAATAGAATAGTTAATAGTTAATAGTTAGAACTGCGTCGTGTTTACGACGATAAGAGTAAAGATGACAACATCAGCTTACGGGAATAGCAGAAGATTGTCCACAGCAGAGTAGATTTTCTCATCATCTTCTCCCCCACAGATATGGTAATAAGCCCAGTTAAACGTAACCTCGCCCCCCGTAAATATATTCGCTATATACCACAACCTCTGCCTTGGTGACAACTGACAACCAGCGGCTCGTTGCCCGAAACAAAATCAGTCTTTACATTAACTTAGTCTCGTAGACTGCGTGTAGTTTTTCATACACCGTGTACAGAGGTCCTGTCTACCAGAAAAAGTAAATGTAAATGTAAATGTTATGTTAATGTTATTGTTATGTATGTATTTATAGTTATGTATGTTATTGTTATTATTATATTGTTATGTTATTGTTAATGTTATTGTTATGTATGTATTTATAGTTATGTATGTTATTGTTATTATTATATTGTTATGTTATTGTTAATGTTATTGTTATGTATCTATTTATAGTTGAGTTATGTATGTTATTGTTATTATTATATTGTTATGTTATTGTTAATGTTATTGTTATGTATGTATTTATAGTTATGTATGTTATTGTTATTATTATATTGTTATGTTATTGTTAATGTTATTGTTATGTATGTATTTTATAGTTATGTATGTATTGTTATTATTATATTGTTAATGTTATTGTTATGTATGTATTTATAGTTATGTATGTTATTGTTATTATTATATTGTTATGA